TTTCAATGGATGGAATCTTGAATTTCTGAGGAAGTGGGTAGTTCACCACGTCAGGTTTGAAAGGTGTGTTGGTTTGACTTACGAGGTAGTCCACTGTCTCGGGTCCCTGTGCCTTCATGGCGTTGAAGACGTCACCCAATTGATTTTGCACCTCCTTAATTTTTTGGTCCCAGTGATTGGGAGGAGGTCTTCTGGAACTATCATGGAAATGGTTTTCACCCTCGTTCTCTTGGAAATGAGGGTTTCCACCATGGAGATCAGGAGCTGGAGGAGGAGGTGAAGGTCCCTTATGATGGGCCCCCTTGTGTGGGGCGCCTAGGGGTACCCCCAGGTGGGGCGCCCCCTTGATGGGGATCACCTAAGTGGGGAGCTCTTTGATGGAAAGGGTGTGGAGTTCTTTTAATTTGAGGTCTAGGCTGTGCTCCTTCTTGTTCTCTGAGCATCAGTTGCAAAATCTGTTGGTTCTGAGCTATAATCTGTTGCATGGTCTTCAGCATCTACTGTGCATTTAGGACTGTATTGGGTGGAGGAGCAACCTCCTCTGGATTGGGTGGAGGAGCATTTCCTCCTGTCGTGGTGGAATGTCTTTAGGCTGATTCATGGATCTGGTGGTGATCGCCTTTGATTCAACAAAGAAAATGTTTAGGTGAGAACTTGGTCGTTCCCACAGACGGCGCCAAACTAATGATGTACAAAATTGGTTTGCACACCATCTGTCAAGTATGCAATATAAAATACAGTAAAGTAGAGGGAAAGAGAAGACAAGATTTATAGTGGTTCAGTCAATATGACCTACGTTCACTTTAAATGGCAAGGGTCGCCAGAATTTTATTATCTCTAGTGTGGAGGGAGAGCACAAGATTACAAGCTTTGAGAGGGGAGGAGTGAATTATGCTCAAATGAGTCTGATGCCCCCAAGTGTTGGTAGGGTGTACAATTTATAGTGACTTGGTGTACTAATTGAATAGCTAGTCTGGCGGTCATAACGGATTGGGTCGTTTAATAGTAACTAAATATCTTGGCGACCTTTCCTCTCCTCAACCGACAAGGAAGTTATGGTGCTCCCCAAAGGACTTGGTCAAGGATGAGGGAGGTTGATTCTCTCTAGGCTGTGAGGATGAGGCTCATGAATGCTCCCTTACTCCAATGTGGAGAGGAAGCTCTTGGACGACCCTTGCTCCAAGGTGGTAGAGGAGACTCTTGGATGAGCTCTTATACGATCATGTGTGCTCCTCTACTGATGTAACTCTTGGAACCTGATTAGCTTGACCGGGTGCAGACCCCTCTGGGCTTGGCTAGCTGGACCTCTTGGAGTTGGGCCCTTAGGTTTGGCCCATCACCAAGGGACAAAAAGAAAAAAAAAGTGGCAGAGGGATGCAAGGTCTTCCAAAACAAAGAAGAGGCACCAAAACAACAAAATCCATAAGAAGAATTCTCCAACCAACGGCCCAGAAGTAAGCAATACACAAAAATCTATTGCATGACATATGTTGCACTTCCCAGTTCCTACCCATACTTTTTCCTGTGATGACATTGAGTAAACTCCTATGATGGCATGAACAATCAGCAAAAGACATACATGTAGATGATTAAATAAAAATTGAATAACATCCAAACAACTAAATAGGCTAAGGGCAAATCGATGTTTATGAGTGTAATCAATTAAGCACAACCAGACAAAAAAATAAGAGTTAACAGGACCGAAAAATCTGAATTTGGTGTTAATAAAAGAAATTAGGAACACTCACATGATTATATTTTTTTTTTTTCCTAAAACCAATTTTCTTTTGGGCTATGGCTCATATTTGATTTGAACATGCAGAAGTGATCAAAAGTTTAAAACTTTATATATATAACCACTGTTATGCAATTTTTTTTTGTTAGAGGAAATCCCTTACTGCCCCACCCCAACCCTTTTTTTTTTTTTAAAGAAAAGAGAGATTTTATTGAATGAATAAAAAAATTACAATAAGCAAACAAGAATCAAAGATTTCAAAATTACAACCAAGGTTTTAATCCTTCAAAAAGGCCTCCTAAGACCACCATTACCATTAGGAAACCGCCTTCTTCTTTCAAAAACCAAGACCTGTTTCCTCCTCAAAGAAGGTAGCTTTGATTGGTCTTAACTCAAAATCAACTTAGCAACTGCTGGCAACAAACTAGAATCAAAAAAATCAACACTGCATTGAGACTGAACAACATATGAGGCTAGAAAGTTAGCTATCCCATTAGCCTCTCTATAAATATGATAAATTCTGGCTTTAAGTTGAACAAACAAGGCCAAAATTTGCTCCAAGACAGCTTTACATCTCCAAGTAACCTCCATATTTCCCAACACCATCTCAACCAATACTTGCGAATCAGATTCAACAAGAATCTGATACGCCTTCAAACCATACTGGAAGACTAGATTCAAACCATCCAGCAGAGCTCTACACTTTGCATTCATATTAGTGCCAACCCCATAAAAGGCAGCAGCAGCCAGAACCACATGACCATCACCATTCCTTAGCACCATACCCCAACCCAGCCCTCCACCCTCAGTTGCCACCTCAAAAACAATTTAAAGAAGAAGAAGAATTCTAAACAACCCACTCTCTCTCAAAGCCCATAAAACCATTAGACCATCCTCGCCAACTAAAAAAATACCCGAATTAGATCCCCACCCCTCTGATTTAGATGAACCAATAGGGACCCATAAGAGGAATCCACACCCCGCTACTGCATCAAATACAAAAACGAAGAAGAAAAAATGTAAACAATTCCATTCACCAAAAGCCACCACAATCCTCAACCCATCCCCAACAAAAAAGGGTAAAAAAAAAAATTAGAATCCCTACCCCTCCCCTTTGTTTCATAGCGCCCAACCCCACCTCACTGCTGCCACTAACAGAAAAATGAAGAAGCAACTGAAGAAAGAGAGAGAGAGACCTATCTGTCGAAGAGAGGGAACACATGTACCACTGACCTTCGTCGGACAACAGAGAGAGCGAGAGACCTCCCAGAAGATTCCCCTTCACTTTCGTTGTTGTCGTTGCCTATGTGCTTCTCAGCCAAGGAGCCCTTTTGATGAATGGTTGGACGAAGTGAAAAGGGTAGGAACATTTTTCTATGTAGGGGGTAAAAATGTCATTGCATCTCTTATCTTGTTGACAAGGTTTGTAACCCATGGGAGAGGTGGGTTATATTTAACCCATGTAGCTTGGATAAAAAATACAGTAGCACTCGGGTCAAGGTTTGACCTGAGATTTATATCCTCACTCAATTTTTGCTTCCCAGACAAGGGTTTTGTGGGACCCATGACTTTATTAGCCTACCCATACGAGTGTTAACCCACTTTAACCTAATAGCCAAACATACCCAGGGTTTCTAGAAGTTGGATTTGCCAAATTCAGGTCTTGCCTCTCCCTAGAAAATCAAGCGATAAGTAAGGTCCTATTTAGTAACGTTTACGTTTTTTGTTTTTCGTTTTTATTTTTATTTTTAGAGTAAACAAGAAAAAAAAAACTCGTTTGATAACCGATTTTTTTTGTGCCACCGTTTTATAAACAAGGGGCGATTTTCAAAAACCAAAAAAAGACGTTTTTGAAAAAAAAAAAAAAAAAGTTTAACACAGGTTTGTGTTTAATGAGGTCAAGGATTTGAACCTTATTAACACCAAAAAGACACATTTATTGGACACTCATATAAATAGCAATACCCTAACCCTAACCTTTCAAACCTGTCTTCGTGCCTCTCAGCTTCATCGCTTCTCTCTCTCTCTCTCTCACCTCTCCTCTTCTTCGCCAGTCCTCTTCCTCGCCAGGCCTCTTCGTCGACTGTCCTCTTCATCGCCAGGCGCCTCTCCTATTCAATGAAGACATTAATAGTTGTTCTACTCTGCGTCAATGAAGGTACATCCCTTTGATTTTTGCTGATTTTTTTTCTCTAATTTTTAGTGGTTATAGATCTGATTTTTGGTGGTTATAGATCTAATTTTTGGTGGTTATAGATCTAATTTTTGCCTATCTCTGGTTATAGATCTGATTGCTGATTTTTCTCTCTGATTTTTGTTGGTCATAGATATGATTTTTTGTTGATCTCTTGTGTGTTGTGTTGTTGATTAACGTCATAAGAAGAAATCATTAGAAACTGTAAAAATGGGTTTTGTCTGATGGCCTAACATCACCGTACAGTTTCAATTTTAAATGGGTTGTCTCCAAGAGTTGAAAGCATAGTGGACTTAGGAGTTCTATGACAAAAATGGCTATTGGAGCCTTCAGAAAGTGCAAGCTAAGGGCCAAAAATTCAATGGAAATCTATGTTGAATCCACAGCAAAATGCTTCTAAGTGTTGTTTTAGTTAATTTTACTTTCATTGGCATGTTAGATTCTGTTGATTTTTCCATTCATTGTATTAGAATATCCCTCATAAATTGGTTTATGAAACTTGTGGATTTTTCCATTCATTGGCTATTGATTTTTAGTTCGACACTTTATTTTATTATTTTTAGAGGCCTTGGGATCAAAGTGAAATCACACAAGTGAATTCGACCTAACCAAAAAAAAAAAATTTTTGGACTTAACCAATTTTTTTTTTTTTTTTGACTTAACCAATCTTTCTACCAGCATTGGTGAGCTTGATAGCATGCACCTATTAGTGATTTTGTATTTGTATCAGAAATGTGAAACTTTTTTTGTTTGAAGAAATATCTTGAATCTATTTATGATATCAATCTTGAATCTATTTCTAGAAAGCCTTAGAAATCTCAAAATAGGAGACTCCCCAAAATAATCTCAAGACCAATAATACTAGCCTGTACCTGAGACCCTAGCAACTCAGAAACACCTTCCAAAGTTGTTGATTTTGCTCTCTATAGTTACTGATTTTTTTTTCTCTATGTAGTTGTTGATTTTTTTTTTCTGCTATTGTTCCAGATTCTATCTGGTCTAGTGGTAGCTCTCTTATGTTCTGGAATGGGCAGACAGAATTGGTTGTAAGCAGTTTGTTCTGTTGCTGGGATGATTTTTGAGGATAGCTATTGGAGTGCTGATGGTTTATGGTTGGTGTGGATTTTTTGCTTAGTTGTTATGGCCTTGCTGGCATGGTGGCAGATTGTTGCGGTTCCAGTGTAGAGGAAATGCAACTGAGTTGTGGGTCTTACCACAGTATGAGAATCTCCTTCAGTAGATTGAGGAGGTGTAGGTCCAGTTTTTTATATTGTTTGCAGGCAGTATGTGGCCTGCATTTTGTCATGGGTTGTTTTCTGCATTTATGGCTGGGCAAATTTAGTCATTGGGTTTGCACTGGACTGTACCGGTTTCTGCTTTATATTGGACGGCATTTTCTACAGGTCTGCACTGATCTCGAGCATGGAGACGGGGTATGCAGGCAGAAGTTTCCCAATTTTAGAGGATTTCCAAAATGTAATTAGAAATGGTTTAATCCATCTTGAAGGAGTAAAGCCATTTTTTGCATATTTTTAGAACAATTTGTTCTTTGATTCTTGTAATTCATTCTTTTTGGATATAAATTTTTTTCTTTAAAAAAAATGTATACAAGCTAGTCCAAAAAAAAAAAATACCAGTGTTACAACCAAACGAGTTTTCTGTTGTTGTTTTCAAACTTTTTTACAACTATAAAAGCAACCAAACACGTTTTCTGTTTTCACTTTTTGCTAACGAAAATCTAAAACTGATTCTGTTTTTTATTTTTAAGAGAAACCAAAATTGTAAACGTTTCCAAACGAGCCCTAAGGTATCTGTTTAACTAGATTACTTGTTGATATTCAATTTCTGTGTATACTTATGATTGTCAAAATATTATTTATGATTTGATTTTCTCGTTGTTAGGTATTCATGACTTTTTAAACCTTTTTCTTTTTAATTTTTAAATCAAGAATTAGTTGTATATTAGCTCTCCACTTTTCATTTTGAATGGTAGTATTTGTGGTCCAAGTTGTGTTGTAGTCCTAGATCTTCCTAAAGTAGTGTTGTCTCCACTATGACTTTTTAAATCATAACTTTAAAAAAAAAATAAATTTAATTCCAGAGTCAGTTGTTATATGTATATGCATATTGTGTTGTGGTCCCAGATGTTACATCCTGTCAGATTTTTGTTTCATAATGAAATAAGTTAAGAAAGTTGTTAATATCTCCATTTATTATAATGTAGGATGATTGAGCATAAGTTTACTATTCAAATGCACTATGGGGGATATTTTATTTGGAAGCCACACATTCGGTACGAATGTGATAAGGTAAAATACATTAGAGATTGTGATCTAGAAAAATATCATAATAGAGATAGCAGATTTGCATGCCATAGTAGGTAGAGATGATATAAACAATGTCATTTATTATGGGCTTCCTTGTTATAGTTTGGACATGGGTTTGAGAAGATTATTGAAATGATTTCTGTATATAAAGGTCTACCAGTTATTATCATATATGTGGAGAAGGATATTAATTTGTTGCAGATGCTTATATTTTGTCAAGTTCTTATGGCATAAATCTGGAAAATGCATTACCTATTGAAGGGGTGACTAAAGTTGACACTAATGTATTACCTGTTGAAGCTGACTCTGATGATCCTGATTATGTATTAAATGAGAGTATTGATGATACTGATAGTGATGACCCAAGTTGGCAATATGAAGATCTTGAGGGTGACAATGATGACATTTTCAATGTTATTGTTCCAACTACTACTGCTAATTGTCAACTTGGTGGGGGTAGATGAAGACCAAGTTAGACAATCATGTGGTGTTGAGGTGGATGTTGATAACTGGTATTCTGAGCCAGAGAATGATGAGGAATTACAGAGTTTAAGAGGGTCATCAGATGAAGAGGGTGATGATTACCCTGAATTCAATGAGAGTGTCCACATGAGGAATCCAGTGTTGGTTGTTGGCATGAAGTTTCTATCACCACAGACATTTAGAGAGCTGCATAGAGAGTATAAGGTGGTGAATGGATATGATATTGTATATATGAGGAATGAAAACAAAACGATAACAACCACATGTAGGTATGGATGTGATTGGAGAATCCATGTATCTCCAATAGGTGGGATTAGTACTTTTTAACTTAAGACATTAACTGGGAAACATGTATGTGGTAGGCATTATGACAACAAGTCAATTCTAAGTATTTCGGAAAAATATATCTTGATGATGTGAGAGATAACCTTGGGATTCAAGTTACATCATTTAAGAATTCATTCAAAAGGAAAATAATGATCAATGCAAGAGTATATCAGGTTTATCGCGCAAAGAGAAAAGCCAAAGATGTTATTAATGGGGATATGAAGGAGTAGTATCATAGGTTGTGGGATTAATGGGCTTAGGGATAACCTAAGAATTAACGTGCTGGCTAAAGGCCCAACCATATTATCTGCAGCCACAGGCCTTGCTAGGCTTTATGAGGCCCACAACCTTGACTCAAAGAGACCCACAATGGATTTGAGAAAGGGCTCATTTTCCACCATCGCTACACTAGGGGCTCCATCGCTATCATCGACACTACTTACACGACACAAAGCACCGGTGATCCTCAAGCTAAGTCTCGACAAACTGAAGAAGAGGCGTAAACGAGGGCTTTGCTTTGATTGTGATGAGAAATTCTCGCGTGGGCATCGCTGCAAGCAGTTGTTTTACTTGGAGGGAGGTTTTGTCGAAGACGAAGAAGACCCACCCATCACTGTAGAAGAGGGAGCCAATTAAGAGGAGGAGATTCCCGAGATAAGTTTGTACGCCATAATGGGAAACCATACACCGCAAATGATGCGAGTTTGGGGAAAGATTAATGGCAGAAAAATTATCACCCTTGTTGATTCGAGAAGTACCCATTATGTAAAACTCAGGTAAATTTGAATTTTTATGAAAAGGGGAAAAACAATCATTTTTCATTATGGTACGAGTTGAAAATTTGAAATTTTCTACAACTCGGATGATGAGACCTCACCGGTGGATTCATCTCGCGAATCTAGTTATCCAAACAAATTTCGTCGAACTCTGACACTGTTAGATTTTTTACGTTTTACGAGACAATCGAATCTCATGTAACCTAAAAAAGGGATATAAATTAAATTTTGAAAGTTGAAAAATAATTTAAAGGAAGTTCATACAAAAATATTTTAAACTTGAACCAGGGCAAAAATTTATCATTTTGGGATGAAATCGGACCCGAAAATGAGGAACGTATGGCGCGATGTAGACCAATCATTTAAAGGGTATAAATAGGGGAGAAAATCAAATTTTCTCCCCATTCTTTTTGCTGGGTTACGTTGGAGAGAGGAAGAGAGAGAAAAGAGAGAGTTTACTCTCTCTACGATCAACGGAGTTCCGTTAGTTGGAATCTTTCGGACTAAGTATCAAAGTTGATCTACACGATGAGGGCTATGCCTACGTACTAAAAATGATGAATTTCATTGAAATTCAAGAAACAAAATTTTGGAAAAACTTGGATTAGAGCATGTTGCAGGTTCTTGGAGCTTTCTAACCTTATTTTACGCTTCAAGAGGTAGGATTTTCATCCTAACTAGATTTATTTTCAACCTAGGGTGATTATATGAAATGGATAGGTTATTAGATGTATTTAACACTTGCCTATTGTTATAAATTGATAAAATGAGTATTAGAAATGGGTAGAATAAATTCTATCTTGAATTAGGTATGTAGAAATTACTTAATGTGATTTCTTGAGTTATGTGACGATATTTGGCATTTTATGTGATTACATGATTTTGTGCCTTGAAGGTGTTTGATTTAATGCCTATGTGAAATTAACTATACTTTGCATAGATTATGTATAACATGCTTAGAAAATTGTAGTTGAATGTAGATGTCGATATATGCTAGATAATAAATTGACATTATGTGAATTTATGGAAATTATATGTCTATGATATAATTAACCGTGGTGTATGTTGAAATGTGGTTGAGATTATTCATAGGGCAATCATACATATTGGACATGATATAGTTGTTGCAATTGTATATTATATTGCATTTGCACGGAGACATCGTATTCACGGGCATGAGGCATGAGGCATGAGTGTGGGTGTGGGTGCATGGTTGTCATCAAATACCACACTTGGTGGATGATGGGTCGGCTTGAAAAATTTGGATTGAAGATCTGGTTAAGTTGCACGGTTTGTATTGAAAATTGGGTCGGGGTTAGCGAGAAGAGCTGGATCGTCCGTCATGTGCAAAACCTGGTGATTAGGATACGCACTCCCTTGGTTTAGTCCATAAAGTGTGTCGGTGTATGTGGAATCATTGGTGGAAGTCCATGAATTTCGTTTCGGTTAGATACCCGTTGGTGTAAGTCCACAAAAACCCACCTCAAGAAAGATTCAAAAAAAATTTAAATGGTCATTGGATGTATGACATCAATGGCGAGGGGCTTGGAATGCTTGAAATTGCACGCATAACATATGCATGAGTTAAGGGAGCTGGTGAAAGCTCTAGTTAAAATGCGTAAGTAAGTTTTATCTCATTTTATGGCATGACATGGTGATTTTCAACATTGGATTGCATATTCTTGATTGAAATGGTTATTGCTTGTTGAATGTTGCATGTGAACATTTTATATGCAGTTAGGTTGGGGAGTAGCCTCTTTAGGAAATACCCTATTGAGCGTGGCTCACCCTTTATGAAAAAATATTTCAACTAGGTTGCGGGTTATACACCGATGCAGTTAGGTTGCGGGTTATACACCGATGGACGGCTCACATTTGAAGCCTTAAGGATGAAGAAAAGCCGACTTGTGACTTTTAAACCTTATTTTGTAAAACTTTTGTGAAATTTGGTTTTGGACATGTAATCATACGAAAATGATTGTAATGGAACTTGTATGAACCATGTTATATGTAAAACTTCATGTTATGGGAGTTTGGGTTGGTGTTGCAAATGGTTGGAATGGATTGGAATCGAAAACGGATGAAACGGGAGAAAACTAGGCACACCTATCGATAGGAAATTGAGCTTTTCTACTAGTAGATGTGGACCAATAGGCATTATCTACCATTAGAACGTCACTTTTCTACCGGTAGGTTTTCTTAGATTTTCTAAAAATAGAATTCTACTACACAACTTCTGCAGGTAGGTTTTTGAACACTTCTACCGGTAGGTTTTCCTAAAACTTCAAATTTTTGATATGTTTTATCAAACTCTTGTGCAATGATTCCTTGTGATCAAAGGGATTATATGTGACATGAATGACTATGAATTGAGATATAAAGGACCATAGATTTATCAATGATAAAATATGTAAATGGGTTATGATCCCAGTTAAGGGGATGTTATTGGCGTGTTGTCAGGTTGTGCGACAATCACGGATACTTCTGCGGGTTGATGGGTGATCAACGGTTGACAAAAGACCCCTAGTTTTAGGGGCGTCATTAGTTGGTATCAGAGCATAGGTTCCCGATTTACCTAGAGCTTGCGGGCATGGGTATAGAGCATTGCATCCATTGTGCACTACATGTTGTGTGAACAATATTTATGATGAAATGTATATGGAGAAAGAGACACTCGGGTTAGAGAACATAACCTTGGGGGTCGAAAAAAAAAGAATGAATGGGATGGTTCAGGGTGTAGATGTTTACTAGTGGGTGACACATGCTCTACTAGCGAGATAATGAGAGAAATCTCAAAGTTTAAACTTAATCCCTATCTTGTGATACTAATTTAGTGCTCTATTGTTATTTGACATGCGTATAGATGACAAATAGAGGAAAAGGATGTGGCCGAGGAGGTGGACGGAACAACAACCAACCACCACCAGCCTTTGACCAACAAGCCTTTGTGGAGGCTATTGGCATGATGACGGCTACCATTGCACAGAATAGTGCCAATGTGGGCCAATAGAGCTCAAGTAACCTCCAAAAGTACAAGGCACACAAGCCTCCGAATGTTATGGGAGGGGCGGATCCAGTGGTGGCTGACCATTGATTCTAGTAAGTCGACAAGATCTTAGCGGCTATAAAGATTATCTTCGATACCACTAAGATAAGGCTAGCTGCATTTCAGCTTGAAGGATAAGTCCATTGGTGGTGGGATTGGGCAAACGCCTCGAAGAACTTAGAGGCGATGACATGGGAAGAGTTCCGGGAGCTCTTTAGGGGCAAGTACTTTCCATCGGCTGTTCGACATGCGAAAGCCCAAGAATTCTTAGATTTGAAGCAAGAGACTATAACGATGATGGAGTACATGGCCAAGTTCATTGAGTTAGCCCGTTTTACCGATGATTACGCGGCCACAGACATGACCAAAGTAAGGAGATTCGAGGATAGTTTGAAATTTTCCATCCGGGAGAGGATTGTGGGCCATCGTCTACAAGATTTGGACTCGATGGTCGAGACAGCAATGACCATTGAGAGAGAGGTAGATGATGCAAGGAGCATCTAGAGTCGGGAGCTACGGACAAGAAGAAGGAGGGTCAATTATCTTTTTCGAGTTCGGGAAAGAAGTAGAGGACTTTTACTCCGCAAGGATATTAGGGACAGGGCTGTGGTTATCAAGGCCAATGCCAAGGTCATTCCTCCCAAGGTGGGAGAAATTGGAGGCCTTCCAACCAGGCAGGCCAAAGGACATGTTTCATTTGTCACCAACTAGGTCACATGAAATGAGATTGTCCTCAGAGGCAGGAATTCCAGAGCTATTGGGCATCCCAGTCCCAATCATCGGTGGGACATACACAGACTCATTTTATTTCTCCCTACCCCATCATTGGCTAGGGAAGCTAGTATCAGCTTCAGGGTGCTACACAGGCCCCTACTACTTCACGTACGGGAATTCCACAATTAGACTAGATGGGTTAGGGCATGGGTTGAGGTCGAGGACAAGGCTTATAAGCAAGGATTTCAGGGATCCAGGGGCATGTCTGCGCCATCACACCTTAGATTGAGTCAGTGGATTAGTCAGTTATTCAGGGTACATTTCTACTCTCTCGTTTGTGGGTAAGGGTATTATTTGACTCTAGTACATCTCATTCATTTATTTCTACATCATGTGTGAGAGATTTAGGCTTAGACGTTGAGACTTTGGAAAAGCCATTGCATATGAGTTTTCCTCTAGGAGCTAGGGTGAGTATTGATTAGATATGTCGAGATTGTGAGTTAAAGATCTCGAGGATTCTACTCACCATGGACCTTAGGGTCATGAACATGTCGGAATTTAATTTCAACCTAGGGGTGGATTGGTTTATGGCACATTGAGTTGTCATCGAAAGAGGGTCACTACCTATACATTAGAGGGTGTTTGTTTCAAGTTTCAGGGTAGAAATATGATGTTTTACCCCAAGTAATGTATGATTCCCATAGGCATGGATAGTTGATGGGTTAACTACCAAGCCTTATCCTAGAGAATGAGGCGAGACAGGAGTTGGGTCTATCTTAGAAGGATGTCTTTCCAGACGAACTATTGGGATTACCTCCACATAGGGATGTAGACTTTACCATTGAGTTGTACCTCGGTACATTGTCCATTTCTATGACACTACAGAGAATGACATATGCGGAGTTGTAAGAACTCAAGGTTCAATTGCAAGAATTGATGGACAAGGGCTTTATTAAACTGAGTACCTCACCTTGGGCCACTCCGTTGTTGTTTGTCAAGAAGGACAAGACCCTTCGGATATGTATAGACTATTGGCATTTGAATCAGGTTACTGTCAATAATAGATATCCTTTGTCGAGAATTGGTGATTTATTTGATCAACTTAGAGGGGCGCAGATCTACTCCAAAATAGATCTACGCACGGGTTACTATTAGTTGAGGATTAGGGCGGCAGATATCCCTAACATGGCATTTAGGATGCGGTATGGATATTTTGAGTTCACTATGATGCCTTTTGGGTTCACGAATGTCCCAGCAGTATTCATGGA